TAAGGAAAACCCCCCTGACTTTCTTTTCTCCTTTCACTATCAATATAGTTCAAAATATTTCTTTGTTTTTGCAAATGTTTGTTCACTAAAATGTTCCAAAGGGAAAAATGTCAGCCACAAATCCTCACTCATCATGTATTTGCACAGCAATGCTTAAAGGTCCTTAAAGATCTCCAAGGATTTGAAAGAAATAATTCAGTCGGGTAGCAGAAACGGTGCCACTGCCTTCCAGTGTCTGGTCACACGGCTCATGCAGCATACGACAACTCAAGGCAAGTCACAGTGATCTGATTTTACAGACCATGGACAGAAAAATATGCTCCACAAACCAAATGTATGAAAATCTAAACATTTGCAGCTAATGTATCAAGCAAAGAGAGCTCAAATCCACAAGATGGACTGTGAGAAACATTTTGCTCACTGCAAAGGGACATTTCTTCTCTATCCTGCTTGCCTTACAGATACTCCATGCCTGTTCTTTCCATAACCACCACAGTTTCACTCAGTTTCCTTGGCATTTCAGCAAAGCTACAACTTTTTCTTCATAACTGCTGATTTATTCTTTATACGCCTGAATAACGGGTGTGTTACAGCCATGTTTTGCGTTACTCATCTCGGATGAAGTTACACCCTGACTGTGTTATCAGGAGAAGCCTGATACAACATTTAGATTCCAAGAATACCCTAAAAATCAGGTGACAGTGAGCCTTACTTTCCCATCCACATTTGGTTGTACAGGTCTGTGATGACCTTTTACACTTCGGGCGATGGGAAGGTATCAACAGCTGTCAGGATTGTCCTCTGACTAGTTCAGTCTCATGTACTTCTTGCTCCCTCCCCCAGATGCATGTTCTGAATGCAAGAGCCATATCTCACACAGGTGATGCTCCTCTCTTGTTCAAGGATCCCCTATTCCCTGATTTCCCAGTTTAACTGCAGATCTAACCCACCTGAGCAGCCACCTAGGGTCCTAAGTGCTGTTTGACAGTTGAGATCCACAGGCCATCTCCTCTCATGTGATACCTTGTGCAGATGTGCATCAGTTATGTGGAGAGGTGTGTGGGCATTGCAGACACCTGAAAAGTCCATGTTCTCCTTCTAGTTCAACAATTTTGACTCAAAAGGAGAGTTCAGGGCAGGTGGACCTGTTTGGAATTGTTGGGATGAAAGCAAAAGAACGAAGTTCTTGTGGATCAGAGGACTCTTGCTGAGCATCCCTACAGTTATCCAGGTTTCCAGAATCACTTTATGCAAAAGCTACCTATCTTGACTTAGTTGCTAAAACTCAGTTCTCTGCTCGGAACAGAGCACATGGATTTCTTTGCTCTGTGAGGTCTACCTGCTGCACTGGTGAACAGGAATTTAGAGGAATGACAAAATTCAAGAGAGGTGAATACAGAATGTCTACATGTCCTATCTAATGTACTGCTAGTACATTATTTTCTAAGAGGTAATGCTTATTGTTCCACTTCAAAGTAACACGTAACTGCAGTATGAAAAAACTTTCTGCTTGAAACATTTCACAGTTGACCCAGCCCCACTAGGCTAGCGCTCGTTACAATTAGTTTCAGCTGTACAGAAAAGAAAATAAGTTTTTTTGCAGACTAAACCAAAGTTTTGGTTTTTTTTCTGGAGAACCTTCTTCACACATTGTACATTACTCAGGTTACCTCAATGCTGGGTCTTTAGTTAAGTTTACCTAAGATGTATTTAGGCTGGAACAGTTCTTAATTACCCTAGCATCGTAACTTGGCATTCTCTTAAATTTGTGCTATTCAGCAATGAGATTCCTTCCTGCTGTATCTTTTAATTGCCTTTGCTTTCCTGGAAGATGTCTCAACATTATCACCTTACAAAGTGGACAATCAAGATTTACATTTTTTTTCCAGACATCCCTTCCTTGTTTAAACAATTACTTGTCTCGTGCTCTTTTTTCACCCCTTTCCTTTTCCCTGTAAAGGAATACATTTTCACTGCTAATACACACCGTAATTTCAACGTACTGGAGCATCGTCACCAGTCCGAAGCCCAGTGGAACCTTGAAAGGTTTCTGAACCACAGAAAAGTCTGTAAGGTAACTACACAGTATCACACAAGCAGCCTCTATAAAGGATTTTAATTAAAAGACCTCTTTCTGTGTTCTAAATTAGTTTTATTTTACAGCATTTTCTGTTTTCCAGTCTTTATAGTCCTATAACTAAGAAAGGTAGTTTAAGAAGGAAAATAAGACTGTCAAATGTCCCAAGTCCTCATAAAACTGGTATTTTTAAAGGATGAAAAAAGTCTGAATTTTAAGTTCTAGAAGTGATTAATTACAAGCATGAACTTATTAAGCTGCTTGTAACTAACATTAAAGACAGCAGCACTGCAGACTTCCATGTCCTATACACTTTTCACCCATGCTCCACACCAGAATCACTACAAATTCAAGACAATGATTATAAGCATCTAGATCTGTAACATACAGATCCATAGCAACACTGAGGATCTCCTACGTTAATTTCTGTGCCCAGAGGCTTTTCTGCAACATTGAATTAAAGAAGCCACTGTATCGTTCCTGTAACAAAACGATTATCTTGTAATTAAGACTAAGCAGAACACTTTTCAAAGAGTCAGTCTTCCAAAGGCTTTAGAGAACAGACAACATGACTTACATGGCTTATGTCATTGGTCCGTGAAAGTTACATATCTGCACACACCCTGTTCTAAGAAGATAGGGCAAAGTAACCATTATGTCATATCTATAGTCATTAGTCATTATCTATAATTATTTTCTTTCTTCATGAGGTAGATAATGTCCTTGGAATTACTATTTTTAATGGGGCATTTAAAAAGATTTCTTTTATTGTTTTTGCAGTTGAACAATGAGGACTACAGAATCACTTACCAACAATGCTTTAGTGTCACCACCCAAATTCTTCAGGTGAAGGTGAGAAATGTTTCCTCCTTGTAGTGTCAAAACATATTTGAATGCCTGCTGAGTGAGGGTTTAATGGCTTTATGACAATACTAGGAAAGTCCTAAATCCGTGTGACAATTCTCAGCAAGCAGTCATCCTTCACATCTATTTGCAGAAGTCAGAGGGAACCGGAAGTGTACTCCTTGAGGAGGAAGAAATTGTCTTGTCGTGAACAACTGTCACCCCTGGTATATGTTCAGGATTTGTCAAAGCATAGCAAAGGAGAAAACACATATAGTAGAAATCCAGAGTAGTGAATCCTGTCCCTACCTCACCACTGTATTAATATGGAAGATAACATTCTCAGTAAAGAACAGAAGCATGACCCATGAGCTGAGCCGTGACTGATGCAGTTGGCGAGGCCCTCCCAGGCTATGTGGATACCTCCAGTGAGCTGCAAGAGTAATCACAGAATAATATTGCCTCTGTTTGAGGAAGCAGGGAACAAGATTTCTCCAGACCCTCAGCCTTGGAAGAGCTGCTTACATTACACGCAGGATTATCCCCCAAGAGAAGATGTAACAATGAAGATGATTAAGTGTTTGGTATCACCAGGAAGAATGTAGACAAAAAGTACCAATGAACACAGAGGTTTTATACATATAATAAACATTCAGCATGAATGAATGGAAAGGACCAGTTCCAAAAATGGGTCCAACATCCCAATTTTAAAAAAAAATGTTGATTGTACTGTATCAGAACCATTGTTAC